ACAATACTTCTGAAGCAGTAGAAACTCGTATAGTTGAAAAATCCATCGCATGATTTAAAACAAATATACGAAAGCGAGGCTTAAATTAAGCCGTTTAATATAGAAAATATCACAATAAAAATGATGGCAAAAGAATTGCAAGTCGGGTTGAATCGTTTCAAACAAATCACTTAATAATACGGGCGGTGCTTTCCGGTTAGGGTATTGGAAAATATGAAAAAGAACGATCATGATTTTCCACCACAATGTAATTCAGAAGAACCGATGGATTGCTGAGGCTTTATATATACTTGTTTACGAATTCTATCGTCAATTCCATCGCGGCCTTTTATTATCTATAAAATGAAATATTCCCGATATTTTGTTTATATTGAAGTTCGTCTTTTATACTAATTGAATCGCGGAGAAATAAGTGCGGAATGGAGAGAAAAGCTTTAATTTAATGGAGAAGAGTGATATATAAAGTTGTTTTCCGAAGACCGAACATAAATTGCTCAATCTGATAATGGAAAACAGCTTCAGTGTGAAGGTAGTGCGGTGGTACCGACCAATACCTCTGCCCAGCGTGGCGTGGCCAGTATTAGCAAATTTAAAAATAGTGTGGAGAACCCAAAAGTGCATGCCTCATGAGCGTTTATTTATTTTTGATGAAAAAAATAAAAATAGCGACGTGAAAAAAAAAACAGAGAATCTGATCGACTTTCATTAATAAGTTCAATAACAAAAATCAATAGGAATTCTTCTTATAATATATGGAATCTTATTTAATACAATATATCTCAACGTTTAATAGAAATGTAAGCAATAGATATTTCTATTAAACGTGTAGACTCGCCGACGCACAGACCAGCAGACGGCAGTCCATATATTTTTGTTCAATTAAAATTTTTGTTATGTAATCTAAAGTAAATCAATTAGAAAATAAACTAATCTTCTGATTCAATGTCTGTAGTAATTGCAACGTTAATATAATATGGATTTGATGTCTACCTAAAAGTATAAGAACGATTTTATATAGCGAAATTGAGGTATGGCCACATATCGAGAGTAGAGCACTGTCTCACGTTGTGAGGCGTGCAATATGTTTCACTTAACGCATTCTTGAAATTGACTAGATAAGTTATGTGAGAAATAAAAGTGTTGATGTGATGTACAAATTACACAGTGTGAGCATGTGCGTACGTACATGCAAGTATGTTTACGTGCTCGCGTACGTACTCATACTTGCATGTACGTACGTATGTATGTGTAATGTAGAAAGCGTTTTTATTATTTATTATAAGGAATTATTGCTGCATATACGACTGCGCTTTTACAATGGCATTATATAAAGATAAAATCTGTGAAAATAATTTTATTCAATCGGCACTTGTTTTATCTGCCTATAACTGTCGTAACTAAGAGAGCGATACTTCTGACTTTGAAGACAAACCGTGCCGTACTCCAGTAAGATGTTTATTTCGATTTTAATAAACATTGGACGTTAATAAAATATTACTTTATGTTGCAAGCGACAACTACAGCGGTGCGAGTCAGAAAATAAGTTCAAGATATGTAACTATGCTCTTCTTCTCTACAGGATTGTGAACTAGGAAAATAACTTAACTGGAAGGACGAGGTGTTGTGTCGTGATAATAATCAGAATGATCTAGATATAAAATTTATTATATGTGGTAGCGTAATGCTGCAGCTATATTAATAGTATAATCGATGCACGAATGGGTCGGCTCGGGGAAGGACCACGCTCTTATAGAATACCAGCGTAAAATAGCAGCTTAACGCTGCTGTGTTTCGTATGGTGAGTATAGAGAACCGGATACCCTTTTTACTTGGAAAAGAGGCATTCCATCTTATTCCTCACGGCTGACAATGCATCTGCATTTTGATTCGCAAACATGGATAGATGTAGATGTCTATGGGCCACAGCAACCACTTAATATCAGGTGGACTGTGTGCTCGTTAGTCACCCTTATTCTATATTAAAAAAAACCTTCTATAATAGCGTTTTATAAATACTTTCCTTTAGGTGGTAGAGCCATGCTGCAGCTATATTATTGTTGTAGCAAGAATGGGTCGGCTCCACTGGGGAAGACCATGTTCTCACAGAATAACGTCGTAAACTAGCAGTTTAATGCTGCTGTGTTTCGTATGGTAAGTATAAAGAATCGGGGACACTTTTTACTTAGCGGTCAGCCACCGCAGAGTCTACTTCACTTGAGGATGCCTCATGTAGAGGCGAAACACGTGTCGTATTTTCGTTAGTAGTGTGTCTTTCCTAGTGTATTGGTGTCGGGAGTAGCGGTGCTGGGATTAGTGGTAACGGGGTTAGTGCACGCATTGGAAGGAGGACGGGAGGTGCTCTTCAAACTTGGTAAGACACATCATTTTATTTCATTGAGCGGATTTAGGCAAATTAATTTTTACTAACTTTAATTTCATCTTAGTGCTCAGTGGTGACGATGCATCTGCATTTTGAACCTTAATCGAAAGTAGATGTCATCAAGTGGACCCTGTGCTCGTTTATCACACTTAGTCTATTTAAAAAATATACTTTGATCTGTTACTGTTATTAGTTATCGAATTAAATACAGCCCATTTATTTAGATAATTTAACGAATGTGTCCATGTGGGACACGAATTATAAGCCGTAGGTTAATAAATTTGGAGGTAATAATTAGAAAGGCGTGTAACATTTATTTTATAGGGTTTCCTAACCCTATTTTACGAGGGCGATTACAACGAAATCTCCTTTGTGTTATTTTGTGCAGGGGAGATGCAGTGAGATATAATCAGGATGAAGAGAGAAGGGTGATTATTAAATATATTATATATCTTTTTGCTGCATTCTATTTAAGTCCTCAAAGTTGACAACACACCTGAATTTTGATTCTCTATCGAGCATGGATGTAGATGTCTATGGACCACAGTATTGGACTATGTGCCATTTGACACCCCTTATTCTTCATCATCATCATCATTACAGTTCTTCACAAGTCCACTGCTGAACATAGGCCTCCCCCAAAGAATGCCACAAAGCACGGTCCTGAGCCACCTGCATCCATCAACTTCCTGCATATCTTACCAGGTCGTCACTCCATCTAGTGGGGAGACGCCCTACACTTCTATGAAAAGAAAAATTCCACATTAGCTTATGAAGTCGTTGCAATGGCACTGTGGTGCAGTCAAAGAACTGAAGCCCTGACTTCAGAAACTATTACATTCTTTTTAGTTTTTTACTCGGTTTTTACATTTTATTAAAAGTAAATTTTTTAACCTTGTCAGTTGTTTAAGGAATATTCAAATTTAAGGTTATCTACAAGTAGTATGTTGAATAAATAAAGTTACGTTACAACTTTCATCCTCAAAGGGATGAATTTATTTTCTATAAATTTATAGTGGATCTTAGTAAAAAAAAAAGATAAGAAAAGAATAATTTCAATTGGTTCAGTCGTTTTCGAAAAACATCGGTAGACATACTTAAAAAGCATATGCTTATTTATAAAATAGCATCTTCGTTTTAAAAAGAAAAAAAAAACAAAATTTATTTAGCCTTTCTTCACAGATACTATCGTTGAAATGAAACCATTTATTATTGTGGGCCATTCTAAGCCCCGGGATGTAAGCAAATTTACAAGGAAAGGGTCCATGATGCCCCATCACGATTTAATTCAGAAAAACCGTAAGACTGCCCGAGCTTTACGTACTGTTTGCGTTTCCGCGCGCCGATGTTTCAACCCTTGGAAGTTTTTAGTATCAATAAAATAAAATATTATTTCTCACCCAACTTAGCTGTTTTGAGTTAAAGAAATATAAAATTTTGGATATAGTTATTCAAAACGTATTTTCACTCTCCTCAACCATGTTGGTTACCGAAAATTCATTAATTGTACAGCTGAATAATGACGCCTATCGGTAATATTTTTTTAATTTGGATTCATATTTTCTGTCTCTTAAACATTTTATACGTGGTAGAGCCATGCTGCAGCATATATTAGTAGTATAGTTGTAGCACGAATGGGTCGGCTCGACCGAGGAAGGGTCACGCTCACACAGAATACCAGCCTAAAATAGCAGCTTAACACTGCTATGTTTTGTATGGCGAGTATAGAGAACCGAAGACGCTTTTTACTGAAAAAGAGGCATTCCATCTTAGTCCTCACAACCCATCTGCATTTTGAGTCTTAATCGAGGATAAATGTAAATGTTTATGGGCCACCATCAACTTACCATCAGGTGGACTTTGTGCTCGTTTGTCACCCTATCCTATAATAAAATGGTTATATTCTCGTATAATTTAAGTAAAAGGTTGTCACCAGATAACTGGTAGGTGCCACTGCATTATTGTCTTCGTAGTGTTCACCAAATTAGTTTATACCGAGATTAATGTACCCCTCTTCTTCCTCATCATCGCCACGTAAACAGTCTACTGTTCTTCCATATGACTGGGGAGGTAATCAACACGCCAGACAAATTAATGAACTCCCACATGTCTCGCACCATTAAAGTTGCATCCTTTCAACGATTTCATTCTGGTATAAATATAATGCAATCGGCATCAATAGGTCACAATATTTTACAGATATTTTATTAGGTCGCCTTTTGCGATCACAGAAGACAGATTATCCTAAGTATATAATAAAAATATAATTTACACTGCTGAACACGCGAGGATGCCTCGTGTAGAGGCGAAACACGTGTCGTATTTTCGAGAGTGGTGTGTAGTGCCTAGTGTAGTGGTGCTGGGGATAGTAGTGCTGGGATCGACGGCGACGGTTATAGTGCGCGCGATTGAGGAAGGGTGGGTGGTCCCCTTAAAACTGGGCAGAACACAAAATTTTCTTACTTTACGCGGAATTAAGAAAATTAATTAATAACAACCCCATTATAGTAATAATTTATTATTGAATTGTATATACCATATCATGGTGATAATGATATACGAGTACTATTGCGGTTTACCGTAATACTCGCAGTAAAAATATATTACTCCCTACCAACAGTCTACTGCTAAACATAAGTACTTTTATAGATTGTCTCAAAGGATCTTTGTCACAGCTACCACGCTTGGCAGGCGGATTGGCAACTGCAGTTTTTTTTAAATTATTTTAGCTCTTAACACTAAGATGCTGTTGCTCATTCTCTGTGTCAGTTTACTATGTCGCCTGTTACGACAACCACGGTATGACATGACTTTGTGGAATCTCTTATCGCCACCTTATGGCAAGTAAACATCTTAATTGATCACTTACTAAATAGTACCTGGGTGACGAAACGATTTGCTCGTCGTGTAAAAAAATATAATTTTCTTCAGTGATAGATAGATGTCTATCTAGAAAAACTTGTCAAGTGTAACGTTATCTAAGAACAAAATATTATCCAAATCGTTGGAGCCGTTGCTGATAAACCAGTTACATATAAATACATTATATGTTATAATATATAAAATTTAATGTTTGTTTGTTCGTGTTTTATGTGCTGCCAAGCCGTTCATAAGATTACGCTAAAACTATACCAACCTATTGCTTGCACGTGTCGTACCGACAAATTAATTTCAAAGTCACATATCATTCATATTCAATGAATGTATTGCCATTCCTAATTAAACAATATTAACTCTTAAAAATTAAAAAAAAAATTTAGCTAGTTATATATATTTTTTATTCAAAAAGTATTTTATTAGACATGAATTTAAAAACATTGTAGTTTATTTTAAAATTACTTTTAAAATACTGTAATCAAACATTAATCGATCAAAGCTAAGATCCTCACGGATAAAAAGTACGCATAGCTCTGTAATATGGGGCCTAAAATTTGGCAGTCGCAATTCCGCTTTATAAGTCTATTTTATTTTAATAGGCCTTCTATTTTATTTTAATGAACACCTTGCCCAGCGGAAGATCTCACATTTTCCTTCCACGACCAAAATTATAATATAGCCTATTTGCAAAATGAGTACTTAGTTATAATTTATAATAAATGGGGGCCAGAGGGGCGCCAATGATGTGTAAGCCTAGGGCACTATCGACATTTAATCCGCATCTGGCCGTGTCCATTTTTAATTTAATTCACATAAAATGAAACTATGTAATATTTCAGAAATATACATTAATCTTTAGACTTTTCTAACAAATTAACTTCATCGTTATGAAATATGTGACATATTTTGCCTCATTCCTAAGTGGCGCCGCCCTGGTGGCAGAAAAAGTCGTCTTCATGGCACGAGATGATGTGATAGACTGCCTTAAATAAAAACGGCACTCAACCAAGCTTACTCGATGAAGGATTAATATCCTATTACTTCACAATTCATATCCCACCAAAATCATAAATGTGAAAACAGGATTAAGATCTACTTTCGGCTTCAAGTGGCAAGAACAGAGTGGGTGTTGTCAGTGATGACAAATCGATCTAAGATGTGATTCTACAACAGACATAGCGCAACGGATCGGTACGGTCAAATGGTAATGGGTTGGCCATACTATATCTTGAAGAAATACTGGCAAAGAAATGCAGGAATTAGATGGATGCAAGTGACTTGTGATGAGCTGTAATGATGATGATGGTAGATTGCCTCATACGGGTAACCTAGAGGGGAACTTGGCGCCCGTTCAGACTCCAACTCTTGCACTCAGTGCAGAATGGTACTTTTCAGATTTTTTTATAATATAAGGGTGACAAACGAGCACACAGTCCACCTGATGTGTAAGTGGTTGCTGTGGCCCATAGACATCTACATCTATCCTCAATAAAGAATCAAAATACAGATGCGTCGTCACCCATGAGGACTAAGATGGAATGCCTTGTTTCCAGTAAAAAGGGTCTCCGGTTCTCTACACTCACCATACGAAACACAGCAGCGTTAAGCTGCCATTTTACGCTGGTATTCTGTGAGAGCGTGGTTCTTCCCTGGTCGACTATACTACTAATATAGCTACAGCATGGCTCATGGATTAAAAATAATTTAAAATTTTCTACAACCGACTTCAATATAAAATATTAAGAATAACTCAAAAATTATTGGTCAGACCATGATCAAATTTATATGGGACCACATGAAAAGCATCAGCTTTCAAATAATAAAAAAAGAATCATCGAAATCAGTTTACCCAGAAAACAGTTAAACACATAAAAAAAACATACAGGCCAATTGAGTACCTCCTTCTTTTTGAAGTCGATAGAAAAATAGAATTAATCATGAAATTTTGAAATTTAGGTACTTTCTAGGTATGCAAAATAATAAGGGCTATAATACTAAAAAACAAAAATGAAAAACTAAATAATCTGACCACGTTGCAGGATTCAAAATTGTCTACGGCTTGACAGCTGATGAAGATCTCTGATTAGACATATTTATGAATTAACATTAAATTTCTATAGTCCACTACTCATGTGCAAGTTGGCTGTATTTTCTTTTTAGATTTAACAAGGGTTGGCATGACAAAAATCTCATTTGTATTCTATAGCGTGAGGAGGATATAGTGAGCAATAATCCGGGTTGCGAAGGATCAACGGGCTTTGAATTTTCGAATGAATGATAACCGGAGAAGTTATATTAATGAGAGTTATTAGATAAGTTAATTTTCAATAAATCCATGTCACGTCTTTTATCGATTCTATACAATTTAAATTCACTAAAATCTAAATTACAAAAGAACAATGCTGAGTAATAAGTACCCGCAAAGTGGGTGCCAGCTATCGGTTCAGAAAAACTACAAAAACTTCGTCAAAATCGGTCCATCCGATTAGGAGGACTTCAGTGTTAAACACATGTACAGAAAAATTATATATATATATATATATATATATATATATATATATATATATATATATATATATATATATATATATCACATGTGTCTGCCTAAGTTTGCCCTCTATTTAGGTTTCTGTGATTGACCACCTTTGACAAATACCTTGATGAGTACTTATATGTTTATATATTAAGAAATTCTTGCAGTGACGGTTTTTCAAGTTTTATTTGCAGATGCTTTTGTCGACGTTTATGCAGTAGAAAAACTACCTTAAATATTACCAGAACAGGGCGTTAATTAGGATCAGACTGTGAAGCTATATAGCAAGATTGCGATTCGTTAATGCAAGGCTTAGCCATCGCTAGATATTTGAATTCTAATAACGTTTCATGTCATCAAAATCTATGAAATTTGTTTCAGAGTTTATAGTTATTAGGTTTTAAACGTCTAATATCAATAATACTTTTGATTTTAGCCATGAAGCTTCATTAGACACCTTCATTGAACCTACATCACCCTTTAATACAGGGAACCTTGCAAAGGCAGCAAGACCGACGGTGGGTCTTTCGAAAACTGTAGTAAATTTATGTATCTTCCCGGTCGGCTCGACCGGGGAAGGATCACGCTATCACAGAATACCAGCGTAAAATAGCAGTTTAATGCTGCTGTCTTTCATATGGTGAGTGTAGAGAACCGGAGACCCTTTTTACTGGAAAAGAGGCATTCCATCTTAGTCCTCACGGGTGACAACGCATCGGCATTTTGATTCGTAATCGAGGATAGATGCAGATGTTTATGGGCCACAGCAACCACTTACCATCACGTGGACTGTGTGCTAGTTTGTCACCCTTATCGTATAAAAAAAATATTGCCTGATTAATAAGGAAGCAATATGATTTGGCAAGTACTCGAATAGAGGAGATAGCGTTTAGGGAATTCGAGAAATTATAGAAGTAAATATAAAAAACTATTGGAAAAACCAATTGAGCATGCCTTCGCATTAAAAAATTACGTATAGCATGATTATACGGAATTTTTTTAAAGTAGTTTAAATACACACAAATTTTCACTAGTAACCTTATTGTACTTCCAATTTTCCGATAATTTTATGTCAAACTTCAATTTGCAAAAGTTTGGAAAATCCAAAGTGCACGACTCATAATGCTCATATGATCATCATATCATCATTCATGTCACTCCAAAAAGTCCAAGACGTATTCAAGTATAAATATTACATCCTACTTACTTTTAGTACGTACTAATATTATTTACTCTGTGCTTTTAAAATATTGTAATAAAAATCTCTGATTATTATAATAATCAAGTATGTATGAAATTTTTTTTTCGAATATTTTGTATTTATTTGTACAGCGATCTTTTTGAGCCGCTGTAAACAACCAATACAGTATCCACTCACAACGGCGGTTGACGTCGAACTAAGCGAGCGAGTGAGCGAGCCACAGGCAGTCTCTGTTTACTGAAATAAATTCTAACAGAAGGCTGCGAAATCACCGAAAATTTCGCCATTTTGGAGCCGAAAAAAATTAATTATAGCTAAACAAAACAAAATTACACTGCCATTTACATTCAGTGGTTTCCCACATGATAGATGAGGAGATTAAAAAATAGATTGAGTTAAACAATAGATATTTTCAAAAGTTATCGTGTTTACAAGCCTTGAGGACTTAATAAATCCACACCATACCATAAGCCACTAAAACCCCTTTTTTGTGTGAAAATAGCAATTAATCGATTTAAAAAAATATTAATAAGTTCAACAATCATTTATCTTTCTGACAATGTGCTTTTTATATCATTTATATGTATAATATGATTGCTGGATACGATTTCATGCGACAAAACGTTGGAATCTTGATTTTTAGGCGCTAGTAGAACATACCTATGCGCTTTGCGCTTGGCATGCAATTGTGTATATATGTGGCAGCAGCGTAACAAATCTACCACACACCATATCATCCCGTGGATGTTGTAAGAGGCAATAACAGAAATATTATATGGCTTCCGATAAATGACGGTTTAACCATCTTGTTTACGTCAGATGTCAAATATCCAAACAGCAAACCCAAACCCTAATGTAAAGCGTGATGATTAAGGCAAAATTTCCCAACATTGTTAAAGACCCACGTTCAGCAGTGGACTTTAACGGACTGATCAAGATGACGAAAAAATACTAATTTAATAAACATATAATTAATAGAATCAGGCGTTACTTTGCGGAAATCCATTATATAAAAGCCCTTACAAAAATTTAATTTTTTTAAATTCAATTTAAGTGACTTAGCGGTTAGCCACCGTAGAGTCTATATCACCTGAGGATGCCTCGTGTA